GACCAATGAAAGAGATATAAGGTAACTTATTTTGTAACTGTCAATCGAACATTTGTGGCTTTTTCCGATGATTCGTATTTGTGAGCATCCATTGCTCGGAGCCGATAAAACTAATAAAGGAAGAAATCGTCAAAGGGGTTAGTACAACTATACGTTACGTAGAAGTGTTGAAGGAGTTTAAAGCCTCTAATGATCACATTGTTAATTAAATAGAAACATTGTATCAAAAGGTCAAGTATCAACATATGTTAGTGTTTGCAGTAGCGGCATTGAACTCTTGAAAGTTCTATTCTAGTTATTTATATAAATTGTTCTTTTTATAAGGTGTAGTTGTATCGATGATGTTTATCAATTGTTCTTTCTATTTTTTGTAATTGTATCGATGCAAGAACTTCGTTTTTTGGCACCTTAGCTTGTTAGTGTGCATGAATTAACCATTTATCTAAATGTGGGTGTACATATTTACTGTGATATAATTAAGTCATAGTGCTAAAGCTTTGAAAAAGTAACAATAATGTCGAAACACCTCATGTTATGACACATGGGCCTCTGCCATGTTGGTGTTTATGTTTGTACCCCTAATTTCAACCTAAAAAATGTCGAAACATCTAGTGAGTCATAAGTGAAAAAGTATAACGAGGACACTTAATGGGGATTGGCTAGAAAGCTATATATTTTATACATGTGAAACTTCTTCTCTTAAACGAAATATATTATGTTTGCTAAATAAGATTCATATTGTTTGAACCAGTTAAATGGATTATCATACTTGATGCGTTTCATCCTCTGCTAATCAATCGTTCTGCCTTTTTCATTTTTGGCTCTTATTTTGATCAAGTCCACTTTTGGTTTGTTGTTCATGCAAAAGTTTACACAATGAAGTATGTTATAATTTTCTATGCAATCAATCCATCATTATTAATGTTATCTTGTTATACCATAGGAGGGGAAAAAAAAACATTCTTGCATGCCATTTGTTGTGTAAAGTTACCAGTGTTTTATTAATAGAACAAAAAAATTGGAAAATACTCACAAAATGTAAAGTTACAACGCATGACTTTAGTTAACATAATTTATGTTGTCTATCTATTTTAAATGTGATATATAATTAATTCTAATCAATAAAAATTAATCCTAATCATCCTTATGAAATAATTATAGTTTGAAACTTTATTACAACATTTTGTGTAAAAATTTGCAAATATTAGTATATACATATATTAGTATATCTAAATCTCAGTAATACAATTACAAAATAAAATAAGTACCCGAACATAAAATCATGATACGCCATCAAACCGTCGATACATCAACTTATTATATCTTTAACGCTAAAAATCTTCAAATATTAGTATATACATATTTTAGTATATTTAAATATAAATTAAATACAATTATAGAAGAAAATAATACCCTAACATGAAATCAAGATACGCCATCAAACTATAAATGCAACAAATAATGATATATTTGACGCTAAAAATATGCAAATATTAATATGTACATATTTTAGTATATTTAAATATAAATAAAATATAACTATAAATCTCAAGTAGAAAATACGTACCAACAATAAGTTACCAAATCACTAATTCATCAAGGAAATACGCCTTTAGCTTTGAAAATCTGCAAAAATAATAAATAGAAATATCAATATATGTAAATTAAATACAACTTGGAAGTTCAATTTCTTTATAGTTAGAAAACTCCTTCGCATCCAACTCTTCCTATAATAATATTCAAAATTATATCAATTTAATTTAATATAGAAAACACTTAAAATAAAGAAAATAAGAAAAGTATTACCTTTTACATGGAGTAATTTTTAAGGCCATGCAAATTTCTAATCCAACTATTTCCACAAAGTAACATTCGCACCGTATCAACCGACATAGAAGTCCGACGATTATCAATAACTCTACCACTGGCGCTAAATGTAGACTTAGAGGCCACTGTGGTTAAAGGAATAGATAATATATCATTCGTCATCCTTGCCAATACTCTAAACCTCAATCTTTCTCCTTTCCACCAACCCAAAACATCAAGGTTTGCATTGACATCGCAATCATATCTACTTTCACTTAAATAAACATCCAAATCAAATTTTTGTGGCAGGACTTTATTAGACTTACTCACGTGCATATGAAACTTAGTTTTTCTGGTTAAAACTTCACTTGCAAACCCACTAGATCCCAAAGAGTTAGAAGTCAAAGATTCCCCAATTACAGAATGTTTACGCTTCGATAAAATTGTAGGCCTCTCTTTAGAAGTGTAGTTTGTGACATACTCATCATAAAAATCATACAAAATCTTTTTTATCTCACTCACGTAAGTTGAAGCTTCATCCTCACCATAAATTATTGGAAAAGCAAAATCAATAAGCTTTATTTTATATCTTGGATCTAAAATAACACCCAAATATATCAACACATTATTGTATCTCCAATACTTCTCAAACTTCTCTTCGATTCTTAATGCTATAGACCTCATGTGAGAAGAATGATGTGTGGATTTCTTATTAAGAAGCTCTTTAATCCGATATAACTCAGGAAGAAAAATATTAGCCATTGGATACTTAGACCCAGAATTGTAATATTCTGAAAAACTCCTAAAAACTAGAAAACATCTTCCACTTGCACTACCAAAAAAATAGTTTTATGCTACGGCCGAAAATTTGTAACAAAAAGTCAATTTTCGTGCAATTTGCGTATTTGCTACGCCTTAGTGACGACTTTTATCCGTAATGTGTACTCGCGTAACGAATGTTTTTTGCCACGCACATTTTTGTAACTACTACTCTTGGTCAACGATCTTATGGCAAGCTTTTTGTTACGATATTTGTTACAAATTTTTTCTCGTAACAAAAAGTCGAGCTTTCCACGCGTGTGCCAGGTCTTTAAGTCACGATATTTGTTACAACAATGCCTCGCTTTACCAAAAAATTTTACTTTGATCCCTTGTCAGAGTACGATTTTGTTACAATTTTTTGTTACGTCATTGAATCCGTAATTAACAATATATTCTCTTATGGTCACGAAACCGGCTGTAACAAAAATATCCCTTCATATTTGTTACGTCGAAAAACCATTGTTCGTTACAACATTTCATTTTTTTGTTACGTCATTTATTTTTTTGTTACGTCATTGAACCCTTAACAAAAATATCCATTCTTATGGTCACAGAACCGGTCGTTACAACAAACACCAAAACCAACATTTTGTTACATCATTTCTCGTTTTGTTACGAAAAAATAGCGTCTCATAAAGAAGAGTAGTTGTGGAACAGTTGAATTTGTGCGTAACAAATTAACCTGCTGTGATCTTTTTATACAACCATGCTATAAATATTACGATCGGCCATAATTGCAAACTATAAGGAAATCCCAACATAGGATAATAACATAACAGTATTTACTAGTCGATGTCCTCCAGCAAACAACAAAGTAAATTAACCAATCAAACAAGGCTACCAACATCTCCACTTCAACATTATGTTCCGTCAAACACAAGCATTTCAAACATCCAACCTAGTAATAAGCAAGTGGGGAGATCCATCAATCCATAGCAAAAATTCTTACCACACAAAAGATACATCCAAATGTCTGTACATCTATTCCATAGGTATTTCACATAGCCATTAGAACCTACCATCCAAGCACATCCACGGTATGCAATTGATAATGCAAACAGAGGCAAAACATAAAGGAACCGGTCGATATGCTTCAGGGGTGGCGCATGAGCTGCAATAAGGTTTAGTTTAAGTAATAATTATTTTAATTTTGGAAGCCATACGTGAAAGTTTTGAAAGTAGATCCATACATCCTTATAGTTCCACTCAATAGGATCTTCACCGACCACCTCGCGAAAGGTAGTCGCCCCAGCAATTGTCAGCAAAATAAGGTGTGTGTCCGGGACTGCGACGGATGTAACGAAAACCTTGACCAGGGAAAGTGTGTCACCTACAACATTCACAAGAGCAATTTAAAAGTATGTAGTTTACCGTATATATCAACACATTAAACTGTACGTAAAACATGTCATAAATTATTTGAAGTGTATATTTCCCACCTTATATACCATGAGTATGTACATTCGGACATGTACTACGATACATGATATTTGACCCATTAATTAGGCACCAAACTATACTACTTTCTACTTTTCAATGCGTTTGCAACTCGAACTATAAACCAGCAATCCACAAATAAAACCTACGTAAAGCAGTAGATCATGTACAATATTAAAATAATAATTTCAATAATTAATAATTCATTACGGTTACCCCCAAACCCGGGCTGCTCCATGTATGTGTTGTAGTATCATGCCATTGGAGATTAATTATCATTTATGCACTAAATATAAGCAGACCCCCGCAGATGAGTTCAAGTTCAGAGTAACAACCACTGATAAATCAAAATATATATTAGTGATCCTCATCACATAAAAACCTATTGTGTGCAGGTTGGGACTACATAAATACTTAATAAAAAAGCATCCATTCATCGGTTTTGGGACTGTAGTGTGCGCCTAAATAGTATAATAACAACATAGCCATAAACAATGTCATGTCAGCGATGAAAAAATATAAGATCAGCACAGAATCAACATTAAACCAACATAGCCACTGTCCCTACAATAACAACCTATATATACACAATACTCTAACTGCCATATATATCAAATTAAAGATGCCCATACTTAATAAAACCATAATCAACTGCACTATGATACCTGTATGGTCACAACATCGACAATGCGGTATGAACATCATATTGAAGGATTCAAAAGAATAAAATTAAGGCACAATGCCACGAACCTGGTGCGGGAGGCTGAGCAGAAGTCCCTCAGCAACAACTTTCTTCTTTTCGGTACGAGATAATATAAGCACACGGGTGCCAACCTACAATAGAGATTGCAGAAGAATTGGAAGCATACAGGTTGGAAATGAAGGTTAGCCTAAAGTTGACACTTAGTTAACTTTAGGGTTTCACAAAATCATACCGTCATAGGTGATTCGGAGACAGGCCTAAGAAGCTCAGAGACCGTATCAATACGAGTTATGGCCTATGAAGAATAAACAGATCGTAGTGAATTTTTTAGCCGTTCAAAGCTCGTAGGATGCAATTAAGGAAAGTTTGAATATTAAGAATACTTACAGATGGGCCACTAACTGCTCCGGAGTTTTTGTGCATGAATGCATACACATCAGCCTTGATGGTTCGCATCGTCTATCTAATTCCTATCCATCTAAAAAGGCAATATACATGTGATTCCATCAACATAACACGCATTCAAACTCATAATGTTTAAGTCTTGATACGGGCGTGCACCCTCAATTTAAAAGAGCAAAGTTATAGCATCGAATTTAAGAAACTGCGTGTTGGTACCTATAAGTCCATGTACTGCACTTATAAGTAAAACATAACATTCATCACAACATTAAGGCTTATGGTTTAAAATAAGCCATTTTCTCCACTTCAGAACCTTTTATGGATGCAATTTAATGAGAATTGAATAATTTCTACGCTCTGCAAAAAATTCTGATCCGTCATCTCTAGATACTAGAGCAACAAGAATTATCCATACCCTATTTGTGTCAAGAAAAATTTCTATATATTCTAAATTTTTACTTGCCCTTTTGTATGAATATGAAAAAATCCTCAAATCTTATGTCCAAAGAATATTTCAGGTTTGTGGGAATGCACACAACACTTAACTACACCACGACCCGAGAAAACATAGACCACTTAGAAGCTTTGCACAGTGAAAATGCATTAAAAAGAAATCAGACCTTCCGTTAAATATGCTTATCCTGAATTCACACTGCACACTTTTGTCTCCACAATTTAGTATCCTATAAAAAAAACACAAGTTAAATATGCATTTATTTTCAGTAAAATAGCACAAACTACTACAAAAGTTAAACACGCACTATGTTGCAATATCCATTCTTTATTGTAGGATTGAATTGATACATATATATATCACTTTTAGTATAACATGCTGATGAAGGGACTGAAACTGCAACATAAGCCTTTGAATTAGTTCCTTCATTAATTTATCATAAGTTGTTGTTGTTTCCCCTATAAATTCTAGGATGTCAACACTATGTGAAATTAACACACATACTAAAACTATGCTGCATATTTTTTCCCCGGGTATAAATTGTTTCATAAGAAGAACGAGGTTATTCACATTGTTTAGAAACAAATGACATTTATGTCTATGCAAGGCACATATTGTGTATTCATAACTAACACAAAATCTTCACAATATAAAGGGAAAACAGACGTTGTATACCTCCCTATCAGGAGTAACAAATATAAAAAACATGGCCAAATACTTTTCGGTAGTCGCAAATCTTTCTTATGAAACCAGCAAGGATGTACTATTACATAGAATGTGTGTCAGGTCTCATACCAACTGTTTATTTAAATTTGAGATTAGAATCAACTTTGATGTATCCATTTCTACCCTGATTTTAGGTGTTTTGTATGTTTAAAATCATCATTATCATGTTCGTCATCTAAACTCTATCCTAACTAGTCGTGGTTATATTAAGTCTAAGATACAAGGATTAAATACATTATACAACATAGTGTTAGTTTTTTCATCCATTTAGATGTTTGCAAATGAACAATGAGATACTTGAAGCCCATAATCATGCAGGATTTAGATAAGATGACCTCCAGTTTTACGAGGTATTCAGAATTTTCTGCAGCTAGAAAATAAAAAAACTAGGGACTAGGGTAGTACACATTTAAAGAATTTAGCCAAAATTACATAACAGCAAACCTGAAAAGAAGACTATAGAACCAATAGGTTTGAGCTGGAGAAAGCTTAAAGAAAGAGAAATATGTTTTTCATATCCTTATTTAATCGGTAAATACAGACTAAACCGCAACAAATATAACTAATTAACAAAAAAATGCAGGCTTTGCACATTAGCAATCCATTTACAACTATGCTACCTCCAACCTTTTATACATCCCTGTGTCTAATGCGTATCCCTAATACTGAGTCATAAGTTATACAATAAATTCGCAGAACAACAATATATTGTAAGATCGGAAGTGTAAACAATGCTATTTCAATCCATTCATAGAGATGAAATGGAAAACATATCCAACACTATAACATACAACATTTAAGCAGAAATCTGAACAATTATCAAGTGAACTGTGTAAGGTATCTCCATTCCTGATCTACATTTTGGTTTAACCTATTATGCTTTATCAATCAGAATTCATTTACTAAATTCAAATCTCTTCCCCTTTTCTCTTTTTCCTTTTTATTGAATCCAAATTCACAAGCACCTGTTGAGCTGAACAAATTGATTCCTCAATTATACAAATTGAACATTAAACTACACCTAATGCCATCACTTGATCATTCATATCCCAAACTAACTAGGCGTACGAATCACACTAAGAACCCTACTAATTTTATGTTTTCCTCATTGAGTAGCAAATATCAAACAGTAAAAGCACAACAAATCACCATCAAAACTGCAATTATCCATCGTTTCCTTAACAAAAACCAAAAATGCCCACAACACATTACATCCCATATCGAAACCCAGAACGGCAAAAGTTGCACATAACCTAGGGCAGCCCGCTGTGTAGATTTCAACTACGGAATCTCGTTCTAAATTTAGTTCAATTAAATCATACCAATCACCGAAGAAATCCTAGAGTCTTACTAGATATCATTAACAAAAGATCTTTCTGCAAAAAAAAATAAAAAAATCGACCTCAAAAGCTTGCTCTAGACACAGACATGAACAAAGAGAAAGCAATCATGGCATACCCAAACCCGTATGAACCTAAAGAAGCCATTTTTTTGTGTTCTTCAAAATATCAGTTTGAGAATGCAACGGACGAAGAACCGTAGGTCCACACTGAATCTTATTGGACAAAACTTAAACACCTTACCTGAACACCGGTGCCGGAGTAGCTTGTCAATCCAACCAATTTGACGATGAGGATTGTGTCGGCGGAAGGAGGGGGGAGTACAGTGCAGTGCGAGGGAGGGAGGAGAACAACGCAAGGGGGAGAAGAATGTGTGCCCTAATTTCTGTATTTGAGATTTTTGGGTGAAGACTTACTAATGCGTGTTTATATATATATATATATATTACTTTTTGAAAATTTCAAATATTAAATTTAAATGGAAAAAAAATTAATATCATTAGTCACGAAATTTGATTGTAACTAATATTATTTTGACCAAAGTTTTCCTTCTTATTAATTGTTACATAAAATTCTGCGTAACAACTGTGCCTGAAACGTTGACCGAACAAAAATTGTTTTGTCACGGTTTTTATCGTAATCAAAATATCTATTTGTTACGATGATATTGTTACGAACCCTCAGCCCGTGGTTAATACTCTGTTTTTTGGTAGTGTTGGCTCCACTCAAATTCAGTCGGCACATAACGAAATCCAACATCAATATCAACATATCTAGAAAACACATCTTCAAACTGTTAAATTGGAGCTAACATCATATAAGTTCTATTCCATCATGTTGGATAATCAAGAAATAACTTCTTCTGAGACAAAGAGAGTTGTTTTTTTTATATTGCTAAATTTAATTAGACGCGCTTTAAAATTACACAAATACTTTATTTTATCCAGAACATAATCAACCACAGAACCAATCTCATTAAGAGCATCTTGCACCAATAAATTCAGAATGTGTGTACAACAGCAAACGTGAAATATCTTTCCCCAATACTTAATTGTTTTCTCAACAATAAATCATCTTTCAATCTCTTCACATACACATCATTGTAAGAAGCATTATCAATTGTGATATTGGATATTTTATTTTCAAATTTTCAATAAATGAAACATCTACTAAGTGCATCAGCAATAATAACACATGTATGTGGGGGTTGAAAATTACAAATATTCAACACTTTCTTTTGTAATATCCAATTGTCATCTACAAAGTGTCCAATCACCTACATATATTGAACCTTTTGGTTCGAACTCCACAAATCAATTGTAAGACTAATTCTTGTAACACCCTTTAACATTGATTTCAATTTATTTATTTTATGCGGATTCAAAAGTAGTAATGCAATCTTTCTTCACAGTATGCCTACTACTCTTTTGATAAATGGAGAAATAACTTTCAAAAATTTATTGAAAACGGCATGCTCCATCATCAGAAAAAGATATTCATAAACCAAAATCATATGGGATGTAAGTTCCCGTACCTTAGAATAAACGTATCGATAATTGGCAATTGAAGTTATCACTTCCGAATGAGATTCAGTGGTGAAAGAAAGAACTTGTTGTTACGATGGTAAAGATGTTTTAATGCAACTATATAGATGACGCTTGTAAGTAGTTGTCGTTCATCCCGAATTTCTTGATAAAATCTATTTACAATGAGTGCATTGCAATTTTAGTGACCCATCGGGTTAAGTTATTTCCTTAATATGTTGCCACACACATATCTTAGCTCGACTCTTTTTTTTTTCTTTTTTCTTTTTTTTTTATAAACCTCCCTAGTTTCTTCCAATTTTTTTTTTTACCCTTCTCATGGCTATCGACAAGAATCTCAAAATCGACATCCTTGTGCATTTCATCATCCTCACCTTCATCAATATGAACTTATTCAACAAGATGATCAACATAATCCATAGTAAGAATAGTAGATGAACCTTGTTGGAATTGACTTTGAGACATAGTTACAATTACAAATATAAAAAATATTAGACAAACAAATTAAGTTCTTTATTTCTAATCAAATATATAATATATATTTTAAAAAATATCACATAAATTTATATATGGATATTTATTCATAAAAACTAAAGAGAAAGTCAGAAGACTCATAACGGCGGAGCTCGCGGTTCAATCATCAAGTTTATGAAATATATATGTATATATATGCATATTTAAACGAAGAAAATCGGAAAGATAGAGGTAGGCAGTGAAAATAAATCATAGATTCAAATATCTACTAAAATGAGATTGGTAAATCCAAAAATATGAAAATAAACGCAAACTTACCGGATGGAGCTCGGACTGAGATGAGGCGGGCGGTCGAACGATGAAAGGAGACTAGGAGAGGCGGACGAAGGCAGCGCATACAGACCAGACATAAACAAACATTGGCGGTTGGATATTGAAGAAGGAAATGGTGTGAGCGGCGGGCTGGTGGTGTCGTGTGGGAAAGGTGTGAGTAATTAGGGTTTTAGGAATTGGATGGTGATGAGAATTAATAATACTCCCTCCGTCCCAAAATTAAATATCCATTTGTTTTTTGCACGTAGTTTTAGAAATATTAGTATTATATTGGGATATAGTAGGAATAAAGTAGAAATGACTAAAATAACCTTATTAGTATGTGTGGTATAAAGGTAATGGCATTTGTGTAATATATTATAAGTTGTAAGGGTATTTGTAATGTTAGGTAGATAATACGGTTACTAAAAAAAGAAATTGATATTTTGTTATGAGACGGACTAAAATGGAAAAATTGATACTTTGTTATGAGACGGATGAAGTATTATAAATTATGAATTATAAACAATTAATAATTTGATATATTATTTAGTTTTGATATTTATATATATATATATATATGATATTTTATTTAAAAATTTAGGATTATTTATTAATTGAAATTATGTAATTTTGAAAAGTTTAATATGTTTAATTTATATATAAATTTAAATTGAAATTAGAATCATTTTATTTATTTATTTTAAATTAATACTTTATTTATTTATTTATAGATTATAATATATAATATTTATAATAATTTCGTTCGTTAACTAAACGAGTTTGTTTATGTTGTTCGGCTTGACTCGTAATATTTAATTAGTTAATAATAGTTACTTATGCTATTATTTTATTATTTTTTTATATAATTAATAATATTGATAATTTTAAGATAAATTTAATATATATGATTAAAAAAAATTAGAATATGCATTTAAATATTTTAAAATTATATTGCAATTAAAATACATGCCATATGAATATCAATTTGTAGAGAATAAAATTTTCAATAATATAAGTAAATAAAAAAATACCTTTATATTTTTATAATTAACTTAAACTAATTTTATAAAAGATGTAAAATTATAAATATAGATAAAAATATTTATTTTTTGAAGAGAGAAATAAAAATTAAGAATTTTTTAGTGGAGGTTACATTATTTACGATGTTATATATATTATATAATTAATTAAGTTGATTTATATTTATTAAGTATATTTTTATTTAATAAATTTAGCCAAAATAAAAAAAGTGTTCATTGTTATAAGACAGAAAAAATAAAAGTATTATATTTTAAATAAGAATTACATTTTCTTTAGAAAATATTTTAAATATAAAATAAACAATTAATTTAATAATTTTAAGAATAAAACAAAAGTAATTAATAATACAAGATACTTTTGAACCACAAACAAACAGAAGCCTAATTACCACACAATCAACAAGTTCCAACTCCAATTTTCGTACATAGAAAATTTGACTACGACTTTGTATATAATACTGTTTCACACCAATCGTGCATCTCAAACGAAAAAGGGTGGGTGGGTGTGTTTTGTTTTATGAAATGATTTAAGGAATATTTATTATTATTATTATTATTATTAATGAAAGCTATAAAAATTGAATAAATAAGTATATAAAAATAGTTAGATTTTGATCTTTTATTCAAAATTTCGTGACAAATTTTTTTTAAAAAATTAATATAGTACGTTTATTTATTATTTTTATATTATCTACACAATTTCTAATGTCTTACTTAAAAAAATAATTTTTCAAATCAAAACACAGAACAAACACACCCTTAATGTGTGTGATATATTAATTTTTTAAAAAAATATGTGATTATTTATGTAAAAGATATTTTAACTTTATTTGATACTTAGCTATTCATATTTTTTTTTACAAGAGATATTCAATTAAATATTTATTATTTTATATTATATTTCATTCATCTATTCGAAAGTATCATTTTTTAGTTTTGTAATAATATTATATTACTATTAATGGAAGTCTAAAAAATTTTAACATTTTTTTTTTGTTTTATATATAAATTAATTACATATGTAATAATATATTCACAATTTAAATAAAATTTAAAATTTTTTATCATTAATATATAATTATTTTTAGTAAAACAATTTTAAAATAAAACAAACAAAAATAATAAAATATATATTAAATTGACACAAAAGAAATAGTAAGTATTTATTTTAAATAATTATTTAAATTAAAAATATTATTATTAAAATGAATATTCAAAATTCAAGCAACAATCTCTGCTCAGATACTTTTGAAGAGATTTAGAATTTTAAGAGTTTGAAAACAAAAAACAATTAATATTTAATTTAATGTTTTGTAAAAATAAAAAATTACTTGATATGATATTTTAATAATATTTTTTAAAAAATAAATAGAATAAAACGACTGAAAAATAATTTGTCTAAATAGAGCCAACCCACCAGCGTAGCGTAAGACGTATATATACACGTACATGCTTGAGTGCAGCTCTACGCCTTCAAATCAAATCATTCAAAACACGCGCAAAGAAATATCTTCTTCTTTCATTTCCCTTCACAGCTCCTTCTCCGTTTCTTTGTCTTTTGGCATTTCCCACACATCCTAGCCCATGGACTCCATTGTTTTCGCTGGTACCATGGCCGTCCTCTCCAGTTCTGCAGGGGTTTCGATCATTAGTAGCCGCAGCCGCAGTTTGCCTTGCATCCCCACGTGTTCTAGCAGCTCCCCTGTTTCAAGGCTTGGTGCTGCTGGTGGTGGTTGTTATGCTTCGTCAAGTCGGCGGCGTCTCCTTAGGTTTTATGCGTTTGGACGGTCGGATGCTTCGCTTTTTGCCACCAATGGTAGCACTAATTCTGTTTCTGTAAGTAATAATCGATTTGCTCTGTGTGAATCTCAAAATTTTCGTATCTTTTGCTTAAGTTATAAAGGAGAGGATCGATAATTGCAGAATTAATTACACCGCAATATGTTAAACATATCCTAGAAGTAGTTGTAAATTACGTTAGGTTGGGAATTAAGGGAGAAAACTCGGACTCTGAAATCAGTGAATAAGAAACAAGCGAACTGGCACAAACAAACGATACCTTACATCTGGTAATTTTTCTTCTTACGTCTGGGAGTTTAAACCTAGGATTATTAACTCAAGTAAATTCTGATGAGATTGTAAAGAGAGATGTGCGACAACAAATAATAAATCAGCACATAAGATTTACCATAAAGAAGGCTGAAAATTTTATCTTCCTTGAAGGTTAAGTCCACTCTCCTTCTGAAAACTTTACAAGCTTGATAATAAAGATCTGAACCGTTCTTTTACATTGTGAGAATGAACACTTGAAACGCTTACTTTAACTGTTGCCACCTTTCCCACAATGTGGAAACTAGTAACCATTTTCATATTTTGTCAGCTATTAAATTTTCTAACTTGGTTTGAGTTGACATGATCTACAAGAAGAATCTATCTTCATAAATTAAGTGTACAAAATGCTAATTATAGTTCAAATAATCAAGTTGACGTTGAAAACTCTTATATAATATGAATGAACATTTTTCTCATGTACATTCTCTTTTCTCTTAAAATATATGTGTAGGCTTGAGTGATTAGAATTACTTTTATCCCTAGGCTCAAGTTCAATTTGAACAAGTATTATGTCTTGGTTGTTATCGTTAAGCCTTGAATTTAAAATTTAATAGGATTGGAAGTTAATAGTAAAACCAAATCCCGTGTATCCTGCAATTTTGTAACATTGATTTTCTCCGTTTCACACATTTTAATTTATTTGACCTAAAGTATGTGATTATTTTTCTGCAATTTTTAAGAAGACTAATTGTATCTCTTTTGGCATTTGTCATTGGTGTATGCCAAATATCTCAACTCTATCATTCCATTCATTTACTTTTCCCTTCACCTTCCTCAGCATATTTAGAACTTGAACATTTAATTATGACTTCTCATGAGTTTGAATTGCCCCACAAACCTCTATGTTAAGTTTCAGGATCAATTTGTGTACATGGTGTCTTGAACAGCAACCGAAAATTCGCACTGCTTTATGAGAGTTTCTTGAAGATAATTTCTTCAACCTTATTAACCATTGATTTTAAATCATGGACACTTCTAATTACTGGTTTATTTATTATTCATTTGTACTATGCGGTAGATGGCTCATTGGAAAAAATAAAATCACGTCCATTGCCTACATATTGGAATTAAGGACAAACTAATACGACACTGTAATTGTGCCAGAAAACTTCTGCAATAACTGAACTGGAAACTATGGTTTCTAACTTTTTGGATGAAATCCTTCAACCCTTTGATTTTTCTTTTGTGTCATACAGCCACGGGAAGGAACCTACACTGTAGGTGATTTTATGACAAGAAAAGAGCACTTGCATGTTGTAAAACCAACAACTACTGTTGATGAAGGTTGCTGACATATTATATGTTGATTTTTTCAACTACTTAGCTCCCTTGACTAATCATTTCTCTTCATTCACAGCTCTAGAGACTCTTGTTAATAAAAGAGTTACAGGATTTCCGGTGGTTGATGATGACTGGAAGTTGGTAAATTACAATATGATCATCTTTTCCATTCAAGAGCAGCTGCATTTCTTGGCATGATAAGTAGATTACCTGCTGCTTTATAAACTAATAACAATCTGGATTTGCTTGCTGCAGGTTGGCGTTGTTTCTGACTATGACCTATTGGCACTTGACTCCATCTCAGGTACCATTAAAACTGTTGAATTATAGCATGCCCGCACCTACCCCCTCCCCCTTTTTCTCTCCTCTTTTATTTTATTTTACTTTTTATTTTCCCACATTTTATGTGGGACAGCTAAAACAGTTCACTTCCCGACAAATGATTTAAATTGCATGTAGTTTTAGGCCAGTTGAAAGCCAGAGATTTGTGTTGATGTTTTTTTATATCCAGACATATCTGTGAGATGGCTATTATAATATATATATATATATATATATATATAAAATAAAGGAGGAAGGAACATGTGGGTTGAGATAACTCGTGATAACGAATGCACCAATATATTAATATATTAAAGAGTATTAAATATTAAAAACATATTGGGTGTGTTTGTTTAGTTTTAGATTTTTATTTTTATTTTTATGTGAGGTATAAAGAATTGTATCGCTAATATAAATAATAATAATCCATTTACATTTACCACCTTTTGCGTCATTGTACTTAACATTAAAAATATCTTTATATTTGTATAATTTTTTTAAAAATTATCATTATATTAGTATCATAGACACTAATAGAAATATTTCTGCCATTTTCTCTTGATTTGTACTACATTTTTATATAATAATTAATATTCAAAAATCAACACGACAAAAAGTCAATGTAGTCCTTAGAGCCCGAGGGAGTTTTTGTTTTGAATGTTGACTTTTTATGAGAGAATATTCTCCCTCAGTCCCCCGATAAAATGTCTCGTTTACCATTGATACGAGAATTTAGGAAGATTATAATTAGTAAGAAATTAAAAAGTATATTAATATAATAATCATAGTATAATACAAATAATTATAAATGAAGATTAACATAACTAAATAATTTAATTAAGATTAAAAAAATTATAAATTATGAAATTTAAAATGTGATTAAAGTGTATAATCATTTAAAGAAAAGGACATTATGTGGAACGTACCGAAATAGAAATAGTATAGACTTTATGTGGGACGAAGGGAATGATATATATATATTGGGAAACCGTGTTAGTTAAAAGAATATTTGGTTGAACAAAGCCACTTCACCATTTCTTTTTATATAACGTGGAACCCGCAGCCGCCATTCTTCGAGTGTGCTCTAAGTAAACTCCGGCCGAATCTTATACCATGTAAACTAGGCACGACAAAACAAGTCACACTAGAAGAACAATGTGTGGTAGGTGAGGCCTGAAGGTGTCGGAGTTTGAACTCATCACTTCACGATTACGAGTCCACCTTCACACCACCAGGCCATCCCTTATGGGACACTTTACCTTTTTTTTTTTTTTTTTTTTTTTGTCATGTGGGCACTATTCATCATTGTTCACGGTTGTTAGTGAGGAAAATGGCATACTGCCTCATAATTTATTAACAAGGATCAATACCTACACTTTGTCTGCAAAAAGAAATTTGAAGAATGCCTCACTCTGAAACACACAAGATGAGTATTCAATTCAATTGTAAGACCTACCTATGAGAGATTTCAATTTAGGACTATCAACTAATAAACCTTTAAATAGGCTATTAATGAACTCAGCAGTCAACATCAACAAAAGATAGGATCACTCAACCTCTTTTTACAACTATCCTTGCATACACCATGCCCAAGGAAACCAACTATTCTTCTACAATAATAACACCACCAAACACACCGCCTATTTTGGTAAGAGACCTTACTTCTTGAAGCATTCCTTTGATTGAAAATCCTTTTCTCCTCTGTGATTTGAGGTTTCTAAGAGTGGGGAATGATTGGGAGAATTCCATAAGTTAGGCAACTAATTAATTTCATAGATTTAAAAATAGCAAATCTAGGAGCTAAATAAAGCACTAATCTAGAAGTTCAATAAGACATGGATCTACGAGCTAAATAAGGGAATTTATTGTCAATACTAAAAGTTAGTCAATGAAAAACCGATCTTCCATAAAGCTAGATATATTTCAATAGCCCCCCACAGTGTCAACTGAGAGAGGAGGGGATGTTGAGACTAGACCGGAACTCATTAAAGAGGATAGTTAGTAACTCCTTGGGAAGATATTAGCATATTGTAGGTAGGTTGGAATGTGAAGCACATAGATTTCTCCCAGTCCTACACGTAAGTAGTGTAGATCAATCTCCACATGATTGCTGCGTTGATTTTGCACCAGATTAATTGAGAGGTGAATAGTGCTGGTACTGTCACAATAGACAACTACAGTTTTCTTAAAAGGTTGGCAGAGTTAGGCGAGTAGCTGACAGAGCAAACAGGCTTGTAACGAAGACATGCAGTGAAAATGGTGGAGCTTAAAATAAAGAATCTCATGTCTGGTTTGAGGATCCTTGATAGAGCCCAATAGGATCAAATTTTACCGAAACAAATTCGTAGTGGTCAATTTGCAAGATTAAAGAAAATTTGAAATGAGTTTTGGCGAGATTAAGATGTTTTGCAGGCTTAGTGGACGTGGTTTGGTGGGAAAAGTTTTTGTGCTAGTGTTGGTGATGGCTGACAATGGGACGACAGAAAGAATAGTAATGCAAAAAATGGGACAAGTTACTTTAAAAAGAAAAAATATATAGCGCTGCAATGTATCCGAACGGCATCAAGTCATACGTAGTTCTGCTGATACAAATTACATAGTCCAATACCAACAAACAAACAACCTAAGTACTAATAATAGTAAGAATTTTTTTTTTTAAAAAAAAAAACAGAAATTCAATCATAAAAGTTAAATATAAAAAATAAAAAAAGAAATATATAAACACACTGTATTTTCTTAATTTCTCTCTATTTCTATACAGGAGAGAAATAAAATTAAAGAATAGGAAATGGTTTATTTCCCAATTTTGAATTTTCTGTCTTAACCAAACAAAAAAAAAATGAAAGCATTACCTAACACCCCCTAAGTGTCAATGCCAATCTAACTAAGTACTATGTCTATGAGGCACTAACAACAATCAATATTTGCCTATTACAAGAATAACACAAGTTCCAAATATCACAAGTCTCAGTCAACCAAGTAAGTCCCTGTAAATATGCGATATCCCCCAAGTCACATACCGGTGCCACGATTGAATACAGAAAAGACATCGCTGTAAAATCCAGTGGCTGGATTCGGAGGAGATCAAAGATATGCATGCTTTCGAATCGGTCTTGATTTACAATGGCACCAATCCTCAATCAATTGCTATCCCAACTCCAGTCTGAATCGCCGTCATCTCTGTCAAAGTGTTCGTTGCATGCGGGATCGGGTTGTAGCATCCGTGTTAAGCTTGAACCATCCTGGGGACGGTGCTTCCAAACGCACCATAGTCAGAGGTCGAGGAACCGGAGGGGGTATTAAAACCCAAGTCCATCTACAGTATGAGAATCACCCTCGCAATGTCGATGTAGAAGAATCCTACAACAAGATACGAGAATTTAACGTTGTTCGGTCTCACAACAGACCTACATCCACGATTCCAAAACAAGATAATCCACTAAAATATTTATTACAATATTTGCATGGACAAAATTATAAAACCTTCCTCACAACAACTCACCAAATCTCAAATTCACTCTCTCTAGTTACTAAGGAGAAAAAGACTCGTTGTCGTGTGTTAAAACAAGACCCAAAGGGATTAATTTATAGGAGCCAATGCCCCTATTTTTTTTTTTCACTTTTCCTATATGGGACATGGGAAATTACACAACAGAACTTGAAGCATACCTTGAGAGAGATCACACCACCTCACAAAAATCCTCACTACAATTTTAGACAAATGATTATGTTCTTGTCTTAGGGACAAGTTTCCTTTGCCGTAATGGATTTCTAGTCCATGTATCAGCCCATGCATGACACCTTTTTGTTGTTATTTTTCACCCCGAAGACAATGTTTGTCATGTGCAAAAGCAGCGAACTGTCAGGATTTTGTGAGTGTCAGGCAGCTGTGCAACTTTTATATGTACGTTAGTTTTTGTATTGTGGTAGAGTTGAAACGACGGGATTAGAACCATATACTCAAAAACTCGCTGGGATTTTCATAACAAAATCTATGTTAGTGATAGTCTTTTGTGTTACATTGGATTTTGCATTGTTTGTTAATGCTATCATGTATTGTTTTCCCTTTTTTTTTTTTTTTTGGGGTGATTGAATCAGGCTTATCAATTTCTATGTTAGTGATAGTCTTTTGTGTTACATTGGATTATGCATTGTTTGTTAATGCTATCATGTATTGTTTTCCCTTTTTTTTTTTTTTGGGTGATTGAATCAGGCTTATCAATTTCTATACATTATAAAAGCCCTGTTTCTTAATATATCATTTTTTCGTATGTCAAACTTAGGTGGCGGTCAACAGGATACAAGCATGTTTCCAGTTGTTGGTAGCACGTGGAAAGTACGTATTATTTCTTCTTGCTACTCTCGAAACTTATCAACGTCTTTAAGTCATGAATAACATGCCCTTTCCTTTGAAAAACTTTTTGAAAAATTATGTTTTAAATTATAAGTTTAATTAAAATATTTTCTAGGTGCTAAAAAAATGTGCAAAATTTCAGGTTTCTGTTTACTTATGTTTCCAACCATATTTTACGCTACTGACTACTCACGAAAAATTCTCTCTAAAATATATTACAAGAACCCTTTTTTTTCCTTTTTCTTTTTCATCAAAACATCACATTCAACACCAATTTTAATTACTTAAAATACCTTTTCTTACAAACTTTTTTAGCATTTACAAAACTCTCCAAAATTCCAAAGCACTTGAAAAATATATTTAAACACTTGCATTGTTCACTTTATAAACTGAATAATATCTCTTCTATTAAAAAAATTGATTTACCTTATTACAGTATAAACCTAATATACAAATCCCTATTCTAACTTGGGCTTGGCCCACACTTTATAATAAGTCACTAACTACTATATACACATGTATATCTAACAATACATGTAACATTCCCCTCAAGTTGGAGCATAAATGTCAATCATGCCCAGTTGTCACAAAGATATTTGAGTCGAGTGCTAGATCTCCTACCCGGTCTCCTATTTTTACATGGCCTATAACCACCGCACCTTGTTAGATCTTTTTCCAGATAAAATGACAGTCAATTTCAATATGTTTAATCTGCTACAGGATTGGATGTTATGTGGAGAGCTGCTAGATTATCAAATGATAGTTGTGTTGGAGCTGAGATTTGGAAACCTAACTCTGTCAGGAATTGACGAATCCGAATAATCTCACAAATGGAATGCAACATCGCTCGATACTATGAATCAACACTTGATCTAGATACCACATTTTGTTTCTTGCTTAGCCACAAAACCATGTTACCACCCACAAATATACTATCCAGTGGGTGATTACAATAAACTTTCAAACCTACCTAATCAATGTCAGGAAAACACTCAATTTTATTATGACAATAGTTCTTGTACAACAACCCCACTTCCCTGCGTTCTACTTTAGAACCTACCAATCAATGTCTTTTACACCATATTTGATTCCGATCAAAGTTATTGTACAACAACCCCTGTTTTGTAGTACCCTTTAGATATTACAAAATTTGTTCCTGAGCCTCCCAATGTTGACTGTAGGCGCACTCTTGAATTGACTTACCATACTAATCGGATAAGCTATGTTTGGCCAAGTTACGGTGAGATAATTTAGTTTATCTACTACTCCATGATATCTGAAAGAAACGAAATAAAGGATAAAAAAAAATCAAACAATATCAATTGTTTGCCCAAGAACAATCAAACGGTACCAACCGTTTGTCCAAAGCTTGACGGCTACTTTATTTTCAAAATTCCAGAAGATATTCTCCAACCCTAATTACTCCTTAAATACTATTACCTAAACCCTATTTACTAAAATAAAATAAGTCCACCCAATAACTAAAGGACAAGCCCAATTCAAAATATAGTATATTAATTAAAAATAAGAATAAAATCTAAACCCGCAAACAATAAGCCTAAGCCCATCCCCATCGTCAATACAAAAACATTGGCCGAGACTCCTCTATCTCTTTAATCTTAACTTCATACATTTTTCGATTTTGCTCTCTATCAATTTCATCCCTCTTCGAATCGACTTTGTCCCCAAGGTCGAGGTATGAGAACTGGAATAAGCTTTGATCTTTCTCTTGTTTTTCTCCCTCTCTAATTTGTTTGAACATCGCCCAATGTGGCTACCCAAGCTATACCGAAAATAATATCAACACCACCCTCGAAGGGAAACACAAAACACTTGGTTGTTTCCTCACAACCCTGTACTGAGACCGTAAAATCCCGGAATAATCATTCAGATTCCTATCGTTATGCAAATCTTTTTGTACGATTTCGTGGTAATCATAGAGTGGACACTAAGAAAAAAAATATAAGATTGTGACTAGCGCCAGTATCAGCTAATATTGTCACCTTCCTTTCTCGCACAACTCCATGCAATCACAGTCTGTTGGCTCGGAAAGCCATATACAAAGAAAAATGCTAAGGTCCCATCTTCTATTGATGCATCTACTTGCTTTCCCCTCCAATCTTCTTGCGTCGTAGGTACATAATATTCAAACTGTTGAAGATTCAAGACCTCTTCGTCTTCTTTAGCTATCATGACTCGCAATTGTTTGAGAAACATCATGTTTTGGGGTGTATGGTTTCTTGCAATGAAAACACAGTCCTTTGGCTCGTAATTCAGAAAATTCTAGGGGTGAGAGACAGGTAAAGCGATTCCGGGCTGCTGACTGACTAGTTGCCTCCAATTGAGCCACGGAAGGATAACCGAAAGGTTTGCTAATAGTTCTGTAATGTTTGACCCCTGAAACCTTAAAAATGTTGCTTGGTTCGGATATAGAGCTTGCTTATAGTGTCGGGCTGCTCAAATTTTGATATGCGTGTCTATCAACATACATCTGAAGATTATGCTCAATGTCTCTAGACAACTCCATGGCCGTCTCTAAGTCTCTGGACCTAAGAAGACGGAGGGAACTTCGAATCGAGTCCTTTAGATCTTTCATAAAGTAGCCCAGATAGTGCGTATTGGCTAGCCAATTGAACGAATATAGTTATGTAGTCATCTATCGATTCATCCCGTTTAATGTCTACCAATCATTCAAAAAGATTCCCCTTCAAACGCGTATCAAATTTTGCCACCAGCACTTGCGAAAATTCTTCCCATGTCAGCCCCGGTTTGCGAAAGCGTAACTAGATTGACCAGTGCAATGCAACTTCTTCCATGGTCACCATAACAGCATACAGTTACATCTCTGGACTGGTGTTATGAATTTCAAATTGTTGATTGACGCGGGCCAACCATCCTATCGGATCCGAATCATAAAGTAGCCTAGATAGTGCGTATTGGCTAGCCACTTGAACGACTATAGTTATGTAGTCATCTACCGATTTCTCCCGTTTAATGTCTACCAATCGTTCAAAAAGACTCCCTTTCAAATACGTATCAAATTTCGCTACCAGCATTTGCGAAAATTCTTCCCATGTCAACCCCAGTTTACGAGAGCGTAACTAGGTTGACCAGTGCAATGCAACTTCTTCCATGGTCACCACATCTGCACACAATTACATCTCTGGATTGATGTTATGAATTTCAAATTGTTGATTGACGCGGGCCAACCATCCTATCGGATCCGAACCATTAAAGGATGGAGGTTGCACAGGGCCCGTATGCGATCAGGAGTCAATTTCCGGTGGCAATGATACAACGGTCGAGGGCGGAAGTGTTGGTTGCAGTGGCGCGGCTGCCGGGAGCAGCGGTGTGCCACCTTCCACCGTCGCGCTATCCTCTGCATAGTAGCTTGTTGCCAATTGTTGCAATCTAGAGGGTTTTAAAATTACTTTTGAGAATTCCGTAAGAGTTTCCATGATCTCTGCCAGTTAAATGTTAGTCATCTTCATGTTCTCTTTTATCTCGGCTTGATCAGCCTCAAGTTTGTCCAGTCGCTCTGCTGTTGATCGTGTTGTTGTCGTGACGACGGGATCGGGATCCAGCAGGTCGGACCAATTGATAGAAATGAAATAAAAGATAAGAAAAATTAAACGATATCAATCGTTTGTCCAAAAACAATCAAACGCTATCAACTGTTTGCCCAAAGCTTGACGGCTTTTTTATTTCCGAAATTTTTGCAACCCTAATTAATCCTTAAATACTATTACCTAAACCTTACTTATTAAGGGCGTGTTTGTTTGGGGGTTTGGATTTTGAGTTGGGATTTTAATAGTAAAAATTTTGAATTTGAATAGTTGTATGATGTGATATAAATAGTGTTGATGTGATGTTTTGAATGTAAAATTGATTTTTAGTATAATATAAAAAATAAAAAATAGGTGTTTGATTTGATGTTTTTGGAAAGAAAAAATTAAAATGAATAGTGGATTTAAAATCCAATCCCCCAAACAAACACACCCTTAAAAATAAAATAAGTCCATCCAATAACTAAAGGGCAAACCCAATTCAAACTATAATATATATAGAAAAATAGGTAAATAAAATCTAAACCCGCGAATAGCAAGCCTAAGTCTATCCCCGTTGTCAATACACAAGCATCGACCAAGACTCCTCTTACTCTTTAATCTTGACTTCATACACTTTTCTATTTTTCCCTCTATCAATATCTTTCATACTCCATAAAAGTTTTTCCATCTTTTGTAAATGTTTGGTTTGGTGTCATAAGAGCGTTGGATGGTCTAGCCTTAATATATCCTGTTGCACTCAACAAATGAAGGATGTATTTTTCTAAGAGAGGAATACACCATTCTTCTCCGGAACACCTCAATCCTTAGAAAATATTGTAGCTTGTCAAGATCTTTAGTCTGAAATTGTGAGTGAATAAATTTCTTCAAGTTGAGATCCCACATAGTGATAATAATGTCATCCACGGATACCACGAGAAGGGTAAAGCTAAATCTGTATGATGATAAAAAAAGCATAGATTGTATTGTTTTGTGGATTTTACTACATATTTGTAGTATTCAGATACTTTTTTCCCTAAAAAAAAAAATATAATCAAACAATTACTTTTATCTTTTTATATTATACTAGAAATTTATTTTATATTCAAAATATCAAATCAACCTCTATTTATATAACATCAAACAACTATTCAAATTCAACTTTTTACTATTAAAAAATCCAAATAAAAAAACTCAAACCCACAAACAAACACACCCATAATGATCCGATCCGCACTTTATGATCCAAAAGGTCTCAATTGCATGGGTAAACTTGCCAAATCACTCCCAAGGACTCTATTTTAGGCCATATAAGTACTTTCACAAATGGCACACTTTTCCCAATTTCCCCTAGGCAACAAACCTGGAAGTTACTCCATATACACTTCCTTGCCATGGACAAAAACATTGTTCATATCTGTTATGGAGTTGGGTAAAGTCAAGGTCTATATTAGAAAATAGAGAAGCACCGTACTCATTTAGGATAATTATTATTTTATTTCTTATTATTTCTCTTATTATTTTATTTACGGTTTAATTGTTGATTATGAGTTTTGGGCTTGACCCATAAGTTCGCCTATATATAGGGTGCATCTTGGTTATGTTAGGTTAGACAATCATTATTTTGGTTTTGGTTACAGAGCGAATTGGTTTTACTATGTGGTGCTCTATTTTCATTGATTCGAATAAATTCTCTCTTCGATAACTCTAAGTCATAACAATTGGTCCGACCTGCCAGATCCTCTGCTGACAGAATCATGCCCATCTCCAATTAACAACGATTCGAACTATTGGAAGCAACCGTTGGAGAAATACATGAGGAAGTAAACCGGATCCGCCTAGATCTTTTCGTCAAGCTTGAGACTTTGGGAGATCATAACACGAATCAGATGATTTCCCTGCGGCAGGAGTTGCTCGCAGCGATCAAGGCAGCGCTCGGTGGCGTCAGCGCCGCCGTTGACGCCACTGCGTCAGTGAGTAGCCACCGACTCAGTTCTCGGCGCCCTCAGCGCCGCTGCCCATGGCGCAACATCCACTCGCGCCGGATTCTCAACCGTTGTGGGGGTTGACCTCCCGCAACGTAGCTTCGCCACCCCACTCATCTTAGAAGTCAAACCACCAGATTTTGACGGGATAAAGCCTATTGGTTGGGTTGCTCGCATTAAGCAACAGTTTGAACTCCACCAGGTGCGAACAGAACTCAAGGTAGCATTAGCGCGTATCGCCATGGAGGGTACAACGCTGCACTGGTCTCGATGGCAACACTTTCGCCACCCAATTGCCACTAGGGCGGAGTTTTCCTGAGCTCTAGTACTTCGTTTTGATGATCGTTACGTAGAGAGCCTCTACGAGCACCTTGCCACACTTCGGCAAAAAGAGGGAGTTGATCAGTATATATCAACGAGTTCATCCAACTGGCGACACATGAGCCAGGCTTAATTTGGACTCAACCATCCAGATCATCCGTACCATTGAGTGGAAATTCAATGTTGGTTTTGCCACGACATATCAATAACCTGGACGACCGCCTGATTAATTTGCGAGTTCGCGCCTTAGCAGTGGAGTGCAGATTGGACCTCCGATAGGTCCCTCTAGTCTTGGGAATGGCGGTGAGAGCAGTAGACCAAGCACAGACAGCAGCTCCACTGGCGGATGCCCGGTGGTTTCGGACCAGTCCTCCGTGCGGGTTCCCTTCCGGAAACTGAGTCGTGAAGAATATCGCGAGTGTTTGTCTAAGCGACTTTGTTACCGCTCTAAGGAGCCTTATACACTATTGCGTAAGTGTGCAAGCAAGTCCCCTCGAACTTGTATGGTGGACCTATAAACGAATTGGATGGCCGAGCTCAAAGAGATAGACGAGGTCAAAGGGTGGACAAAAGGTGAGGTCAAAATCCACGGAGCTCGAGCATATGACGGTAGAGGCGAAAAGTTCATTCCTCAGGTTTTGATACATTGGCACAGAGTAATGTACAAGGATTCGACTTGGGTTGATGAAGAAGAATTGCGCTTCCAGTTTCTTGTCTTTCGCCTTGAGGACAAAGCGGTTTTTAAGACGGATGGAGTTGTTATGGAGTTGGGTAAAGTCAAGTTTTATATTAGAAGAGGGAGAAGCACGGTACTAATTTAGGGTAATTATTATTTTATTTCTCTTATTATTTTATTTACTGTTTCATTTTTTATTATGAGTTTTGGGCTTGGCCCATAAGTCAGCCTATATATACGGTGCATCTAAGTTTTGTTAGGTTAGGCAAGTCATTATTTTGGTTTTGATTACAGAGCGAATTGGTTTTCCTCTGTTGCTCTATTTTCATTGATTCAAATAAATTCTCTCTTCGATTACCCTAAGTCATAACAATATCCAATTGCCATATTGGCCAATTATGACGAACAACCAAACATATCAATATGTAAACAAAAGTTAACTTGGCTACTGGCGAAACTGTATCAGCATCGTACACACCATGCGTTTGAGCATAATATTTAGTCACAAGACATGCCTTTAGGCAAGCATGAGAGCCATTGGAGTGAAACATAATTGTAAAGACTAAAGACCCAATGACAAGTATTTCCTTTTCGGTAAAAGAACCAACTCCCATGTACCATTAGAGTTCAGTGCGTTTATCTTATCAATCATAACAGCACGGAAACCAAAATTAGTAAAGCCTCGGTAAAAGAACCAACTCCCATATACAATTAGAGTTCAATAATACATGGCAGAATATTCCGAACATAACATAGACACCCAAAGACTAGCAAGAAGAGGAAACAAAGGTTTTGATGGAAAGAGAATTTGATAAGGTGTTTTACATACCAAGACTGATGTTTACAAATGATTAATTAAGAAACATGTTGTAGAAATAGCATCTGTCCAAAAGATCTTAGGAACTTTCATTTAAAACAACAAAGAACGGGCTGTCTAAAGGAATGCTGGTCCTTTTGCTCAGCTTACTGTTTCAGCAAGGGTAGGGAGGGATGACTAAACTGACAATGAACTTCAAAAGGAGTGCAGATACCAAAACAAGCGACATGAAAATCAGACTCAACAGATCTAAAGGTATCAAGGATATTGCTCCTTGACATATGCCCACTATCAATAATCCTTTTCGTCACACTGTCTTGAAACGAACAATGATTAGTGAAGAATGAGAAACAACAGTTTAAAGCACGTGTGTTATTTCTATAGTGGTCAAATTAAACTAGAGGCCAGGAATATATAATAACATAGAATGTAAGAAAGAGATAGTGTAGGATTAACAACTAGTAGCACTAGAGCCATCACCATGGATAACAGATGAATGACTAGAACCAACAGAGGATAAAAGACTTGGGTTACCTGTCATATGGCCAGTTGCTCTAGTGTCAATGACATCCACTTGGAAGCAGAGGAAATAAGACACTTATTGGTGTTACTTGATTCAGCTACTGCACTAACTGAATGAGATCAATTCGGCAAACTATCTTGGGAAACAGTGAGCCAAGCATATTGTCTGCAAGAATAATAACCATCTGAGGTCTGTTATCGGTTGTAGTCACATTTGCAGAATGAACTTTTTTATTTCAATTCTTCCATTTTTTTACAAAATCTCTATCTCCATGTTCATGACAGTAGTAGCAAACAATGATCCCACTAGGAGTACCACGAGTATCCTATGGTTGCCCCTAGATTAACGAGCCAACGTACCGTGAAGCGACCCACCAATGCATGGATAGGGGTAGAAGGAGAAAAATATCCATACAACTCAAATGTTGGAATACTACAGATAATTAGGGGAACATCTGAAGTAGCTAGTAATTGTGACCTGACATTATCAAAGTGAGACTGTAACCCAACCAAGAAACTTATTACTATCATTTGTTCTCTTTGTTGTCGTTGAATACTATGAAGTAACATCACTAGAATGATTCATGGTGGAAACCTAAAATCTATAAGTGAAGACTAGAAGTCAATAATTTAGTCTAGCTCTTGTCAAATTGTATATAATGAAATGTCTTGTCATTTGGTCACACTAATTGGAAATTATTTTGTGTTTTTGTTCTTAGTGCATTGATGCTTTAAGTATCCATTGATTTTTTCTTGTAAAAATTGGAAAGTAATGAATTGTCATTCACTTTAGTCTTTACAATGTCCAATTACAAGATTTATAGATATCCTATAGAATCATGAAAAGACAGACAAAGTAAACTAAAGAGGTGGAGAAAATGTTACGAATAAATGCAAATTCAATCTAACAATTAATATCTACCACCCACCCCCTAGTTGGGGCGTACATATCATAAGTTTGAATTTGTCATAAATGTACCGCATTTTGATCCTCACGAGATCTTCATGAATAAATCAGCAACTTGATCTTTGGACTGGACAAACGGAAAGAGATTTGGACTGGACAAAAGGAAAGAGAGAAAGAAACCGGAATGGTAAATTTGCCTCAATTTGCTTAGTTCTTTCATGAGGAAACAGAAAAAAAAGGATTGGAATATGGTGCAGCAAGACAACTTGAAATTGAAATAAAGCAATGAAGTTTCAATCCGTTGAATTGGGAAAAAGGACAAGACTCGAATTTCGGGTGAAAAAATTGAGTTAACCCACAGAGTTTCAGTTGAGAATGACCACAATTTCTAGTGTGTGGCGATTATTCTAGTGATACTATCAGCGGCAACATGGTCACCAGAGCATGCTGGTTGGAGGGTATGAACAAGTTCGGAATTGGGATGGTGGAGAAGGATTAATTGAGAAAAGCAGATAGCATTGTGATGCGAACTAAATAGAGGTGTTATGCTTTATGCCAAGAAAAAATTGGAAGAGAAATAAATTTTTATTTACTTAAATTGATCTTTAGAAAAGTCTAATTACAAGGATTATAGACATCCTAGGGAAACATGAAAAGACAGAGAAAACCAGTAGATGAGAGACACAAACACAACATTAATGTAATAATTAATATTTAACGGTTTTTCGTTAAATATATATATATATATATGTAATTCTAGCATATTAAAAGTGGCCGGTCCTTTTATAACAGCAATTACCTATATTGTCTTATATTATTATCCACATCGTGATAGTTTATGGAACTGTATATAGAAATTAGCAAACTTTCTAGACATCTATTTCATATCATTTCTATATTTGCAGACATTTAATGAACTTCAGAAGCTACTCAGTAAGACAAATGGGAAGGTTATTGGTGATCTTATGACTTCGGCCCCCCTGGTAGTTCGTGAAACCACCAATCTTGAGGATGCTGCAAGGTGATTGTCACCCCACCCCCCAATTATTTGGTTTTAATTTTCTTAAAAGTGGCTGTGAAACATATTTTATTTCATTATCTTACTAGCAGTATCTAAAAAAGTCACTACTGAGGTTCAATATTTGATCAACCACATTAGGTACAGCTATGTGGTTTATAATTATTTAGGAGCATAAAAAATCTTGTTGTGCCTTAGCTTGAGAATATTGTCATGGATCTACTGTTTGTAGTACAATTCATTTCGATGATAAAATAGAAACAAGAAATAACTAAAGCTGTCATCACTCATATGATTGGTGTTAAACTCTTTCCGAGGTCATTCAAATAAGAATTTGGTTTTAGTTTTAAGAACGGAAAATCCCCAAGGGTAATATAGATGCATGATAGAGAGAAAATTAGATATTTGTTCAACTGTTGCTTTTCATCCTTTTCTATCCAATAAGAATGTGAGATTATGGATAAGTCTGAGAAGAAAAACAGAAACTGACTGGATGAATTAGATAGATTAATTTCCAAGTTTTTTTCCAAATTAGCCTTCTTTTTATTTCTTCAATAATGAGAATTTTCAAAAGAGAATACACAGTTAGATAAGCTAATTCGCACACATATCATAATTGAATGCTTACAGTAAATTAAGGATTAGAGATAAACAAGTTGAGCACTGACTGAAATGATTTTGCAATGATAGAATATGAAATTGATACTTCTTCCTTCTTGATAAATTCCCTGAGTTATGCATAATAAGCCCACTCCGTATTCCATGTTGAATTTGAGTGTATAATTTTTGGGGATGGGGAAGCTGTGAACAGCAGCAACACAAGGAAATAGAAAAGAGAGAAAAGAGTTGGGACCTAGAGCAGAATGAGTATTGGATTTAGAAGAAAAAAGAAGCTCTTTGGTTATTATCTGGTTAGAAATTTTTAACCCACAGTAACAAGTACTAATTACAAGACTATGCTCAAATTTTTTAGTCAAACTTCTTAAAATTATCTCAACCACTTTCTTTTCGAGTACCTATTAAAGGTTTTTACTTGATGATGATTTTGGTAGCTTTTGAGAAGTAATCTCTAACCAGCTCACTTTCTTTCATTAACAATTTTCCAAATTGACTCCACAAGATTGCAACTTCATGGCATCACTTTTCTGAACCCTGAAAGTCTATTTTCAGAATTTCACATGCATATCTTGCCTTCCCAATGCTGTGTATCCTTGTATAAATGGGTTTTCTCATACTTTGTTAAATAAAAACTCAATGTTGTTGCAGTCTTATATTCAATGCCTTTTTCCTGTACATTCACCATCTCTTTCCTCTCGTGTTTCCTCAGTTTTCTTCCACAACATCTCACAAGGAAAATAGTTTTCATTTAGGAACTCCAATAACCAATGGAAGTTGAGTGATTGTATTGGGGAATATAGAATTTGGAGCTGTGGCCATTCTGTCCAAATTTGTTGGATTTGGGTATACTATAGATATTAGCATTAACAACACAAGGAAATTAGAGAAGAGAGGAAACTAGATGCGGGTTATAGCAATCAGCTACAAAAGAGAATAGGGCAGAGGAACAGTAATGTGTATAAGAGAAAGAAAGGGGTTTTTCTGTATTGCAAAGCTAAAACCCTTGCTTTCTTTTAATCGATGTTCTTTTTTAATAACTTGGTCTCTTGTGTATCTACTAACAAGAGTATATTGTAAATGACAAGTCACAAAATGACAGACATTCATAGAGGAGATATCGATAGGATATTTTAGAAAAAGGCTGTGTTCGACAACATTAAGAAACTCCTGTAGAACATTAAGAGACTTGTGTATTGAGAATTACATATTATATTTAGTGACAAGCTATACCACGTTTTTTTTTATGTAGGTTATTGCTTAAGACAAAGTTCCGCCGACTGCCGGTCGTAGATAGCGAAGGGAAGCTGGTAATATGATTTATCCTGTTTATCCATTTATACATAGAAAAGTTGCCATTTGAATTCACTATTATCCTTCTTCTATGCATAGATTGGTATTATTACAAGAGGTGATATTGTTGGAGGCGCTCTTCAGATGAAAAAGGAAACTGAAAATCTTTGATCACTTCTGGGTATCAATTATGAAAATGGTGCTTATATTTTAGCTGTGGTAGTGGATGTAAGACATTTAAATTTGCTGGAAGGTACCAACATACTGCTATTTACGAATGCACCTTTGAAGGAATCACAGCATGTGGAGATAAGGTATCAACTATATCTGAAGAACTAGGTTATTCATTGTTACAAGGCCTTTCTGCTTGTAAATTTTGTATTTAAGTATAAGTGTTATCGAATATGGTTGAAAGATAGTATTCCACTTAACAGAGAAATCATTTGTGTTTTTTGTTACCCTAACAGATATATCTTGTAATGAATGCATCAATGTTTCTGATTATAAAATGAATATTATTGTGTTTACTTATCTATCTTCGTTTTTGCCAAGTTTTTCTAATGTATATTGTAAACCACCACGGGAAAGCTATATATTGAAGGAAATGAGTTGATAGAGGAATTTGGTGCCAAGAGAAGGAGAAATCAGCCAGATGGCTAACATATTGAGAGTGAGATACAGAGGTTAATCACTTCACTCTGGCTTTGAATGTATGATTTTCAGTGGGTTATAACAATGACAGTAGAAATACATCAAGAAAAAGGATATAGGTTGTATTATAAATACATAATTGCATAAACTAAGAGAGTGTGGATTCCGGTTCTCTATCGAACCTAACTTTGTTCAACTGATTCATTGTCTTATTAGTTATTTATCTTCTTCTATAATCAACTTTAGTAAAGTGACTGAATTTATTCATAATCCCTCCCTACTAGTTAGGGCGGTTACTTGATCTTAAGATTAAGTCTAGTAAAACACATAGTACACACACAAGGCACACAACAAGAAAACAATTATAGTATTTCTCTACTTTCTTCACGGTTTTAGCTTTTGTGTTTTCTTTATTTGTTTATGCATTTAGTCGAAATTAAGCACTTTCTGTAGATTATTTTACTTGCTTTCCGTAGATTATTTTAATTCAGCTTAGGTAATTGCATATGATCTTGATAACTCGACGACAGACAGTTTCTTTGGAATACTGCTGGAACCCATGTCGTTTGAACCTACGACATTTTAAGATAAGTTTGGAGCATTACAAAGTTTTAGGCACCAACAATTGGCACGTCCAGTGGGACAAAGTCGGGTTCATGTATGAAACTTCGTAGTGGTAAGGTGATAGACATGTCGAATCAGAATAGAGTCCAGGCTTGAATGCTGGTGCATGTAACACTAGATTAGGGACATTGGTTCACCCCAGTGAGAGCCGTACCCCAAGGTTAAGAAAAGATGAGTCATCATCATCTGCTGAAACGATGGTGGAAATGGTGCACAAGGAGGTGAATCATTGCATTCAAGTTGAAATTGGAGACATAGCATATAAAATTTTTATACAACAGGCCGATGTGATCCGGTGAACTGTAAGGAGCTTTTCTTTTTCTTTTTGAAAGTCAAATTCCAATTTATTTTATCAAAAAATTTATTGTTCAATTTTCCATAGACACGAGACATTTTTTTCTTGGAGCTTTTCAAAGTGTTTTAGGGAACCCTCTATCCATTTTCCGACTGGTTTCATAAAGCCTTCAAGAATATTGAATATCCAAATTTCTGGATACAATAAATTGGCATGCCTAATTGGACCGGGATTGTTTCGTGTCTCACTGCCATTTGAAGAACAAAAATTGAAAGCAATCATGCCTCCGAAAACCATCGGTGTTTCCAGATATAGAGGCTAGAATGAGAATCTTCTGCATTATGTTGATCAAAATTTTGTTTGCAGGCCTACCATCATATTTTGGGAGCAAAATTGGGACGAACTTTAGTCGCCCATAGATGATTCTTCTCTTTTAGCCTCCAGGTACATTGTAGATACTATAGCGACGTTTATTAGGAGAGAAATGACTTGATTTCAGGATGAAGAAACATAGAGGGGAAAAGTCCCTATGGAAGAAGCATATATAAATTATGGAGCGTCATTGGTTCAGATCTTTCTAGACCAAAATCTGCCTAGAGAAATTATGATTCCTTAAGTTAGAAGAGCCAGATTATTTGCAAATATGGTTTCTCAAGCTTCCCAATCCGCTTGGGTGGCAAGTTATCTATATAATCCGGCTGGGAATGCAAGCATTCATCCATATAAAGTGGTCGGATCATCCGCTGGTGTTTCCCTTACATCAACCCAATCCACTTGGGTGGATGATGGTGTACTAATCCGACATGGGATTTGATTAGTTTTGGAGCAAATATGTCGCCATCATTACCACTAGGGCCATAGGGGAATTTGATACTGTGGATCCAACAATCTTTCTTTCTTCCATCATACTATGGAGTTTATAGAGTTTATACACCTAGACCCCACCAATTTACCCTTGTTGTTAGGAGGGTAAGTGATTGTGGATAAAGTGGCAACTATAGCAGCTCTATATGCACCACCACCAAGTACATCTAGGGAAGTCCACCCGAATCCACCTCTATGTGTTTCGACAGACCATCCAATTCGAACTAATTGGCTAGTTGGAGTATCAGCAGCGAAATTGTTTGAAGGGCCACGACCACATATTTCAATAAAAAGATCAATACTCAAGTTTCTCCACTTCTAGCGGGAAATCCACTACCTCTAGCAAATGGAATATATCATCTTCAAGATGTACCTCCTCTGCGAGAGGATTGTTTTGCTGTGGAAGTGGTTCAATAAATCTCACTAATGGCAATTCCTAAGGGGCCACAGCCGCGACCGCATATTAGGGGGCCTATGTATCACATTCTGCAATTTCTAGTGGAAAATATGTCATATCCAACAGGTGGAGAACTACTTGATTACAGATTTATCCCAGCCGATTTCACCAAATTATGAGCAACATGAGAACATATGTAGAAATATGCCAATAAATCCAGATGCTTGGGAAGAAGTAGTTTGGAGGGTATATAGGAATGATTCTGCTAGACCCGCAAGGCCATAGTACCAACAGCTTTTTTCAAACTGAATTATAGAAGAATATCCTATTTCTCAAAATATAAAGATATTAGGAAGGATTCCAAAATGACTATCAGCACATAAGTTGATTTACGGCTCAACGGTGGAGAGTGCATTTCATGAGTGTTTTCATAGTCTGCTACCCGAGAGGACTATCACTAATCTTCTCAGTTTTACGGTAATGGCTGGATAAGCCTGTAGAAATTTTCTTAGAGCGATTCCGAAGGGTAGAAGACAGGTGCAATTTGAAAATTCAGGAGGATCAAGTTGTAAGCATTGCTATTAATGGGATGCACATTCAATTAAGAAAAAACTTGTCTTGCAGGGGTATGCTGATCTCCGGATGTTGACTTCTAAGACCAATAAAGCTGAAGAAAACATTTCAGCAATGAAGAAGGTGAGGGCAAACGCCTTCTACAGTCCCTCAAGAAACTCAGGATGAAAAGGACAACTCAGATCTAGAAGAAGACCACTTTCAGCATATATCCATTAACTCTGTTGGAATACAGCCGAACCAAACCCAAACATTGGCCTTATCCATATTATAGGAGGTCTGGAAGGCACCTTGGAAGGCTACACTTGCGATGATTGGGAAGACGACTAGGTTGCCGAAACAGATAAGTATGGGTAGTTGAGAAGTATGAGGAGCAGCACCAATGGAAAAAGAATATGCTTTCACTGAAAATAAAGCATACTGTCGAAGATCATCAATGTGAAACAACCACCAATTTATTTAAAGTACAAAAAGAGAGGTACACAAACTTATAAATATGGATACATTTAATGCATATAGCATACCATACAATGAAAAAAATCAATTCGAAGTCTCAGCCCCATCTCCAGCAAGAAATTAAGATGCATTCATCCATTCCATAATAAATCTTAGCATGCTGTTAGAGCTCAAAGTTGTCTACTCCATTGAATCGATATGGCCATGGAGTTGTTCAAACTCTTGTATGACATTAGGTTGCATTGCGCTTGTGCTACTACTTGTAGCTTCTCTAGCGGAGGCTCTTCCAAAACTTTGATGCATATGAGTTGTTGATAGAGCAGAGCAGGCGCATGTGGGTGGCACGGGGGTGACGGTGAAAGTACGTGGGGCGGAGACAGCGACGGTGAGTGACAGCCACAGAGATGGTGCGTGGGTGGCATCGGGGTGATACAGATCTTGCATAGGGAAGAGACGGCAACAATATTCATGTGCAGGGGCAAAGAAATTGACGGCGAGCTTGTGTAGGGGCAGAGACGACGACATCATGCTTGTGCGGGGCAGAGGGAGTGAGACACAAATTGGGAGATTCTATATTATTATTTAGATTATATTTGTTTAGATGGATAGAAGATTTCAAAAATTATTATTCTTAAATTTTTGTTAACACCTATAGTGCTATAAATTTTACCTATAAAAAACATATGTAATACTTTACCATATATTTTTATTTAAATTTAAAATTAAAATTAGTAGTCTCTTGTACGTAATATACAGAAGTTTTGTACCTAAAGATATATAAAATTACACCTAGCTTAAAACTATCTTGTACCCAGTGCTTGGAAGATGTTATACTTACACAATTAATGTATTTTTTTAGGTTAGTCAAGTGGTTATGAAAATATATATTATTGTACAAAGAAGTTGGTATATGTCGTATACATAAATGTATATGTAAATGAATATATATTCCTAGAAGTTATTTATAAGTATTGTTAGATAGAATTATATATATCGATGTATATGTAAATGTATATATATATATATGTTGTAATCGCCTTGAAAAAATGGTATGCAGAACGTTGTACATACCTTCACAAAAATCACGTTGCACTTGACCCTTCTTAATCTTATTCCTATACTAGAGGAACCTTGTACTTGTACTAGAGGAAACTTGTACTTTGAGATCAAAGTCAATAATTATGGGTTTTGCCACCATTTTCGGTTGCAATTGTGGATATACTTCAACAAGAAGCACCTATCCTACAAATTACAAAAAAAATTCCCTGACAATAAAATGTCATTTTTCATGCCGACTGCAGCTTCACAATCTAAATGCCCAATTCCATCTCCACATTTCATGTGGGATATAAGAAGAAACTATTTTCAATAGCTACCATTGGTCGGGCGCGATAACGTAGTATAACCGCCTTGAGAAATGGTATACAGAAGGTTATACCTACAATAGAAGATAGTTTTACCTACATGAACTAAAAGTTGTACCACCATAGGAATCATTTTGCACTTGGTCATTCCTAATCCTATACCTATACTAGAGAACACTTATACTTTGAGATCAAAGTCGAGATCAAAACTGATATTTTTGGGTTTTGCCACCAGTTTTTGATATAATAGTACTTATATTTCAACAAGGAGCACATACCTCACAAATTATAAGAAAAATGCCT